AACATAGTTCAATATGTGTGTCACTAGCTGGATCTTCAGCTCCACTTCAGTCCATATAAGGAAAGCAGATGGTCAGAAACTCATTTACAAGAACACCTATTTCATGTCTTGTCAGAGCAGAACCGTAAAAGTCCAAATATTTGTTAGAGTTTAGATCACTTATGTGCCGTTTTTTTATCTTATATACTTTAATGGAGTTTAAAGATATTGTGAACTTCAGATTTTAAACATAGAAGACACTGTACATTTGCAAAGGTATCCGGTACCTGCAACCTCCAGGTAAAACCATAAAAGTTCAGCAGGTCTATTGAATGTAACCCCCCCCCCCCCCGCCCCATTTTGTTCTGCAGCAGCAGGAGTGCCTTTTGGTTGACTTCCAGCTGAAGTTAAGACCTTACAAGGACAACATGAGTTAAAGCTTCAGTTTAAAACACAGGAGGCGTGGTCCAACCTGGTGAGGACACCCCCCACCCCCCACCCACCCCCCACCATATCCTGAAAGCAGACTCAGGTTACACCCTGAAATCCTAACTGTGTTTGGTCAAGTTAGAAGTTTAAAATGGGAACAGATTCTGAGGATCAGAAACATGAAAAATACTGCAGTGAAAGAGAGGCACTTGAGTGGCAGAAGTGAAATATTCTGACATGTCTGTGCAGGTTCAGGGTGTGGACACAATAACTGGAACACTGCTTTCCAGATTCAAAGGCTTTATTGTCATATGCACAGTAGCTACAGAGTAGATATGGCAATGAAAATCTTAAGTCCCATGCTCCTTTACTATTGATTTGTATAAGAAAACAATAAAATACTGTAAGAAGAAACAGTGTAGAATAAAAAAAAGTGCTAGATTACCTTTCAAGACCAATGTGCAAGTAATGCAGATGAAGCAAACTATATACATGTCAACACATTTTTTTAAATAAGCTAAATGTTGCAGAGAATGTTGTAAGTGCACAAGTAAATGCAGGAGTCTATATGCATGTAGATAGAATGAGATAAACAAGAACATAATGTCAATTCAATACTGTACAGTAAAACCATGCTTGTAATGTTCACTTGAGGGCACTGCAGTCAGCTGTAGATGCAGATAGTGATACATGAAACATCCAAATGTACACGTTTTAAACTTAGATTTTTTCAGTTTTAATATACTTAATATTTCATATTGGCCACTCTTTTGTGGCAGACAGTTTGTGTGCACACAAGGACAGACACATTCAAGTTCAGGGACACAGTCTAGTGACCAGCTGGTTTGCTGAATTGTGATCAGCAGCTACAGGACAGGCTTTACCTCCCAACAGTTAGGGCCAAACGTATTTCTTCATTTCTGCTTTGGCTGTTAAATATGCCTTGGGGATGGCCATCCTTTAACTAAACAACAGACATTTATATTATGTCATAGTTGGGGGTATTTGCTTGACCAAAAAAGAGGAAGGGTTAACAAATAAATAGCAGTAGATAAGAAGAGAAAAAGGAGAAGACCTTAAAAAAGATGAGAGACGGTAACAAACTGAAAAAAACTACACGGCACATTTTTAACTTGATTAAAAATGTAATAGCTTTTTTGGCATGATTGATGTTATAAAACAGATCAAATGGGCCGCAGCAAAGATCTCAAGTTTAATTATTAGATCAAATCAGTTTTGGCTACAAATTCAATATACCTCTCATGTGATTCATTTTTAATTTTTCTGCAGTCCAGTGTGGGTCCATAATCTTCACACACCTTTATTTCTAAACATCCGCTAAGATTCTAAAGATCTCCAATCAGAAATGATGCACAAAACAGCAAGGTTTCAACCAAGAGAGAGAAAACAGAAGAGGATACATATTGTAATGAGTTGAACTCACGTCGTTGGTCCTGATTTGCAGGATTTACTTGCAGCTTGAAACTTAAACAAAACCAAGTCCACCCGAGTTCCTGCTCTCAAGCTTTTGTTTTCAAATCAGATAACGTCAGTAGCAGACAGAAGAACCTGACAAACAAAACTCTGATTTACATGACTGGTTGAACATAGACACTGAAATAAGCTGGGATTTCACACACATACATGACTGTAATCTACACATGTATCAAAGCATTGCAATGTGGAACTTTTAAGTTGCTTTTCAAATGTGCTTATTTTGTTGCATTGTGGCATTTGTTCAGTGCTCCATTTAAAGCATACACTTTACATGACATGTGTCAAACTCAAGGCCCGGGGGCCAAATCCGGCCCGTGGTGGATTTAATTTCGGCCCGCAGGATAATTTTTAATTACTATTAGATCTGGCCCGCCGGTATATTGCACGCACACCTTCACTCAATCCTGAGGGTTTCCTCAGCTCAGAGCCTGACCCCAAACATTGATGAACTTGCACCCAAGATGAGATGCCAAGTATCTGAACTAGCATCACAGCAGCAACCTGAGTTTAATGGATGTTTCCTTCTGCACTTTTGTTCTTGCGACAACAGGGCATGTTTGGTTTTTTCTTTGAGGGAAATAGTTTTGTTGAAGCTGTTGTTGGCCTGTGGAAAAATGTAATCATAACAAATGACTCCGGAAAAACTGCAGATAGAGCCGTAAGAAATGAATGCAACTGATTATTTAATGTTTAATGTTGTTTTTATAGGCAATAATTGAAGCTTACAGTAGTTAGTTCCAGGTTTAATATGTGCAATAAGTTCATTTCAATACGTTTTGCAATAAACATTGAACCAGTCCGGCCCTCGACTAGTACCCACTTTTTAATTTTGGCCCACTGTGTATTTGAGTTTGACACCCCTGCTCTACATTGACAGACAGTTAATATAGTTGCAAACAAGATTATTTCAGGTTATAAATCAACAGATAAAAACATTTAGTTTTTGCAACTCTCACACCTTTTCAGCTTTTGGTTTTCTTTGTTGTGAAACCCAGTGCAGAGACTAAATCAAGGGCTTGTCGGGGCCTTGTTGTTGAACAACAATGAAATGAAACATTGTGTGCACTAATGTAATGCATAGAGTCTATGATGTGGCTGAGGTGAAGTGTCAGTGCGGGGGCCGGGCCTTGTTTAAGAGGCCGGTAGCAGAGGGGAAGAAACTGTTCAGGTGGCGAGAGGCTTTGCTCCTGATGAAGCGCAGCCTCCTACCAGAGGGGAGGGGGGTGAACAGTTTGTGTCCAGGGTGGGAGGGGTCGGCCACTATCTTCCCTGCCCGCCTCAGGGTCCTGGAGGCGTGCAGGTCGTGGAGGGATGGCAGATTGCAGCCTATCACCTTCTCTGCAGAGCGGATGACACGCTGCAGCCTGCCCTTATCCTTGGCTGTGGCTGCAGCGTACCAGATGGTGATGGATGAGGTGAGGATGGACTCCATGATGGAGGTGTAGAAGTTCACCATCATCGTCTTTGGCAGGTTGAATTTCTTCAGCTGCCTCAGGAAGAACATCCTCTGCTGGGCTTTTTTGATGAGGGAGCTGCTGTTCTGCTCCCATTTGAGGTCCTGGGCGATGATGGTGCCCAGGAAGCGGAAAGACTCCACAGCAGTTACTGGGGAGTCACAGAGAGTGATGTCACCTTTAACTTTTATCAAAAGATAAACCTGAAATGCAAGGAAAAAAACACATTAACCAAAAATGTAATAAAGAAGAGTGCTGATCTCCTCTTAGCTTTCTGCTACCAACACATAAAAGTTACTTGGGTTTTAATATTTAGTCTTAAGGGTTTCTCTTCATTGTTGAATGAAGCTAAATTACAAAACTGACCACAAACCCCTCAAACCCCCCCTTGGTAAAAGTGCCACTGTAAAAGGGATAGGTAGATATGAGATTTTATCGTGGATGGGGATAAAGAACCGTCACAATTAGTTGATCAAGATTCATTTCCGTAATAATGAATTATCTTGAATCAAGTGTTTAGCTTGCTATCTTGGTGCAGAGGCCAAAGTGATAGCACAGGAGTAAAGGAGTTTTAGTGCAAGAAAACAGACTCATTCATTGTTATAATTGTATTTCGAACATATGTATCCTCTTTTATGCAAGGGGACCTTATTTATGAATGTTGTCTTTTCACAAAAAATGATGCACACATTTACAAAATATTGGTCCTATCTAAACAATGGAATATAATATTAGTTTGTTATTTTAATTTCAGGTAAAGTGGTTGTATATTGTAATACCATTTAAAAAAATTGCACAATTTTAAGCTAAATCCAAAGCTATAGTCACCCTAATTTAGCATTATGAGTATAGCATTCTGAACATAAATCACTAATTGTTCTTACTCAAATCTATCAAGCCTGCGGTGTATGGAAGTCTCCAGTGAGTGCATGGACCGAGTGGGCACAGGTAAACAAGAAGATTTATTTTAATTTTTTGTCAGAGCATCGGATTTGAAATAATGTTGGGATTTAATGAATATTTCAACAAATATAACATATGTTTTCTATATTTTCTAGCTTGAGTTCGAAACTTATTTTGATGATTTTGAGGATAATACCACGAATTGCAATTATCTTGACCAATTGTGTTTTTTATATTGTCCCAAACCTGTCATACATTGTTATCCCAACAATCTTTGTATTTTATAGGCCAGTTTGACTTATTCAGCAAAGCAAAGCAGAAGACCTTTGTACAGGACCGAAATTCTGCCAAAAAAGGAAATGCAAAATAAACAAACATAAATAAAGAGCCCTCTTTAAAATGTCTTAGTTTTTAATTAAACCACTTTTGCAAGTTGTCTCCTCCAACAGCAGAACATATGAAGGAGTACTACTTTATTTGAGAGGTGATTGGTTTCTGAGGGGTTGTTTTCACATCCACGTTGCAATTACACTTCCCACATCTTTACTCACTCTTCCGGTTTTTTTGGAAACTAGTTTGTATGGTTTGTATCCAGTGTCCCTCCACCTCCTGACAGATGCCTGCTGCAGCCAATCAAAACGCGAGCTGAGAGAAACTGAGGCATCCTGCTCACCTGGACCAATGAGAGTGCCCGCTGGGAGAACCTCTCCTTTTATGGACAACGCGACAAGCCCCACGAGCGTGAATAAAACCTGTGCGGTTTGGCTCTTGATGTTACATTCACCGAGCTCAGCTGTGCAGAGAAACACCCTCTTAACTTCTCCGACAGACACACCAGAGACTCACCTGCACAGGTAAGAACCAGCGCTGCTTTTTCTGACAAGTTTAAAGAGAATTGATTCAAAACTAAAGTGCTCGCGCAGAGTTTTAATGAAGGAAACAGACTTATTGATCAGACTCATCAACACTGACTCACTTCAGGTGTGTAGCAGGCAGGTGATGATAGCATGTTTAACCAATTAAGCTTTTAAACACCCTTGAAATGCGTTTGAAATATCAGTTGAAGTCATTCTGAGACAGTGTAAATAGCAGATTTTCACCCGGTTTTTTTAATTAACCGAAGGGGTCCGTCCAGCTATGTTCATAATACGTGAACTATACTGTAAAGAGTTTTTTTGTTACCCAAATATTAACTTTCTGATAAACTACTTCCGGGTCAGTATAATTCAAGTATGTCTCTATCAGGCAAATAGCTCAGTTCTTAAAGGGACAATTCTATATATTTTAATCTGCAGTTAAAAGGGACACTTTTTGTGCAAAGGCTACAAAACTTAACATTTTGGATAATTAAATCAGTAATGTTAACAAAAGACTGAAATACAAATGAGTGTGATACTGCTGAGGAAAGGGCTGCTCCCTTCTGCAGCTCTCACTTCCTGTTTCAGACCCTCCTGAATTATCCTGAAACTTGATTTAATTTATGGCACCATAATAGCTTGGAGGCTTTGGGTTTTTTACTCTTCACATATTAGGTAATTTATTAGTAAAGTTATAAAGACATTAAACGCATGTTGCATAATAACTCTGGAATTCAGCCGAACGGAGGCAGGTCTATATCCTGCCTGAACTTGTTTGAAATGCCCTTAAGGGATGGGACTAACAAGTCACATGGGTTACGTTTGAGAACTTGAAGTGCCACGCCTGACTAAATGTAATTCCAGTAAGAAATGCAAAAGATGTGCTGAAAGTAACTAGTTTCTGTTTAATCTCATAGAGAAATTAACAAGTGCTTAAGAGTTTGTGCAAACTCAACACTGATCATGCTAGGTGTTGCATCACTAGAGGGGCATTCCTTACTCTTCTTGCATAACTTAAGACTTTCTTAGTTTGTAAAAGTCCTAAAGTCTTATATTTAATGTTTTTAAGTTTGTAGGTGGTTTGACCATAGACTACTTACTAAATACACAAAAATAAAACAAACTTACGGGAGTAAAATAAGTCATATCTGATTTGTGTTTTTTCAGAAATGGATGACGACGTTGCAGCCCTCGTTGTTGACAATGGCTCCGGTATGTGCAAGGCTGGTTTTGCCGGAGACGATGCCCCCCGCGCCGTCTTCCCCTCCATTGTCGGTCGCCCCAGACATCAGGTACCAACATCAGCATGACTGTGACTCTGCTTCTTATGACTTAAAATCCCACCAGCAGTTAAATGCAGAGTAACTTCTGACTGTAAATGTTTGTGTGTGCAGGGTGTGATGGTAGGAATGGGACAGAAGGACAGCTATGTGGGAGACGAGGCCCAGAGCAAGAGGGGCATCCTGACTCTAAAATACCCCATCGAGCACGGCATCGTCACTAACTGGGATGACATGGAGAAGGTGAGGACATTTCCATCATGTTTGCCTGAGTTCACTCTCATGGCCCTCAGACCAAGATCAAAATGTGTCAGCTGCAGTCGAGTGACGGGAGGTCCAGACGGTTGTGTTACTATAGTGGGAAACTCTCCTGCACTGTCAAAACTAGAATGGGTGAAATGCACGTCAAACATCTGAACTTTAAACCTCAAATCATCAAACATTTCCTGGAGAGCTTGAAATGCCAAATTGGTTTAATTGACCAGCATGACTGAATCTTTGCAGGTCAAAGATCTCATCTGCTGAACATCATGCAGAAATGTATACATTTCAACTTATTGGTCTGGATGTTTAGCCGCATCAGACCTACACTATTGCGTAGAAACAATGAACACTGAAAAGGCCTACCAGACAATCCTTTTGCATGACTTTCACAAGTATTATGTAGTACCAAAAGAGCTTGTATTGCTTATGATTTGATGTCACTGTTGGTGAAGTAGAAGGATATTGTAATATTAAATGGAATTTCTTCAGTAAACTAATCAATTATTTTGACTAATGAACTAATCCGCTCTCCTGTCCTTCAGATCTGGCATCACACTTTCTACAACGAGCTCCGTGTTGCACCTGAGGAGCACCCGGTCCTGCTGACCGAGGCTCCTCTCAACCCCAAGGCCAACAGGGAGAAGATGACACAGGTGTGTGCACGCTTTGGTCACAATCTGGTTTAATCTCTGAAAGGTTTCTTAGATTGTACTGCCCTCTGGGTAAACTGTTTAAAGGCTTCCACTCTGACACCTGTTATTTCTCTTTGGTACAGATCATGTTTGAGACTTTCAACTGCCCTGCCATGTATGTGGCCATCCAGGCCGTCCTGTCTCTGTACGCCTCCGGTCGTACCACAGGTGAGAACTTAAAACATGTATGATTGCAACATCTATCGGCCATTAAAAGTACTGCAGCCAAACCAATTTCAGTGTTGCGCTTCAATTTGACATCAGTAGTTTGGTTTTTCCTTACATTTTTTTCTTGTCTTGCAGGTATTGTGATGGACTCTGGTGACGGTGTCAGCCACACTGTGCCCATCTACGAGGGCTACGCTCTGCCTCACGCCATCCTCCGTCTGGATCTGGCTGGCAGAGATCTGACTGACTATCTGATGAAGATCCTCACTGAGAGAGGCTACAGCTTCACCACCACCGGTACACATTTGACAGTACAACCTCCAAAAGGCTCTTCACTCTGAATATTTGTTAATTGTTTATTAGTTTTATAACAAATTCCTTTTCCCTTAAACTCCAGCTGAGCGTGAGATTGTGCGTGACATTAAGGAGAAGTTGTGCTACGTGGCTCTGGACTTTGAGCAGGAGATGCAGACTGCATCTTCCTCTTCCTCCCTGGAGAAGAGCTATGAGCTTCCTGACGGACAGGTCATTACTATCGGCAATGAGAGGTTCCGATGCCCCGAGGCACTCTTCCAGCCTTCCTTCCTCGGTGGGTTACAATCATAAACGGACTGTTTCACTAGAGAAAATGATTAAAAAAAGATGCTAAAAATGCATTGCATTAGAATCTGATCCTCCTTGTAAATCCAGATGATATTGCTTTAATTCTTGTAGCTTTCAAAGATCTTGCACAGTTTCTTAGCGTTTTTTCAGTAAGTGAATTTATCAGGGTACCGTCATGGCCGTGTTAGTTGTTTTGAAGTTGACTAACACAATGTGAACTCTCTGTGTGTTAAGGAATGGAATCTGCTGGAATCCATGAGACAACCTACAACAGCATCATGAAGTGCGACGTGGACATCCGTAAGGACCTGTACGCCAACACCGTGCTGTCCGGTGGCACCACCATGTACCCCGGCATCGCTGACCGCATGCAGAAAGAGATCACCGCCCTGGCCCCACCCACAATGAAAATCAAGGTAAACATTTTAAATAAATCTATGAACAATGTTTTTTTTTTTTAAATATAATTTCAGTTTTTTAACATTGAGCTTTTAAAATTTGAGCTTAAAGAATCCATCCTGTCTGTATTTTCTTTACCACATACCTGTTTTATCCCCCCCTTCAGATCATCGCTCCCCCAGAGAGGAAGTACTCTGTCTGGATCGGCGGCTCCATCCTGGCATCCCTCTCCACCTTCCAGCAGATGTGGATCAGCAAGCAGGAGTACGACGAGTCCGGCCCCGCTATTGTCCACCGCAAGTGCTTCTAGAAAGCTCCACATCTTCCTTCCCAGGGGGAAGTTGCAATGCTTTTCAGCTGTTCCATATAACTACAACCATATCTTGTGTGAACAGACTCAAAGATAGGAAATGCCAAACCAAGATGAATGGAGATACTGTTTACATTTTTTATTTCCTAGCAACTTGCCAAAACTTCCTGCAAACACCATTTCTGAACATGTTCCACGAACTGTGCTTATGACTTTCACGCCCTCTGGCAATCAACTGCTAACGTTCAACGGAAGCACTGTCTTTTTCTATTGGTCTTTCTACCTTTTATAAATCCAATGCACACAATTCCAAATCAATATCTGGCTGTTGTATCAGTTTTCTAAAGGATTGTCTTCCTAATAAATGCCAACATTTGATGTTTACAGCTTTTCTAATGTCATTATTTGAAGCTGAATTTCACCATTACAGCGATTCTGTTGCGCTCTAAAAAGACCTGATCAAAAAAGAAATTAATTCTCTCCTCAGATGCCGTTCAGAATTTATTATGCACAGAACCAGACAGACTTACTACTTACACTCCGCCAGACCTAGCCACCTGCTGGCCTTGAGGTTTCGGACCAATGAACATTTTGCTGATCTTTTCAGTGTTAAATCTATAGATGGCACTGTTCTAACCGATCCCAAGAGCGTGAACACCACCTTTGTTTCTTTCTACAAGGATCTGTACAGTTCGGAGAGTGGCTTTGTCCAATCTGCGTGCGATGATTTATTTTAAATAATATCCAAATGGAGTCTGAAAATCTGAATGCCCCCATCACACACCACGAAATTGTGCAGTAATGGACATGCGTAAGGTCAGGTCGCCAGGCCCAGATGGTATTCCACCCGTATTATATCTCACCTTTTGGCCCTTCCTCGGCCCCTTGCTTGTAGAGATGATATTTTCTATTAAGGAGGGTTCATTTTTGAGAGACATCAACACTGCCCTGTTATCCTTGCTTCTTAAAAAAGGCAAGGATCCGACAGAGTACTAGTTACAGGCCCCTTTCACTCTTAAACACTGACTTAAAGATCTATGCCAAAGTGCTGGCTAGGCGCCTTCAGTCTCACATGACTAATCTCGTACATAGCGATCAGACAGGCTTTATGAAATCCAGGCTAGCCGCTGACAATGTAAGGAGGCTATTACACATCGCTAGCTCTGCCGGCGGGTCTCGGTGTTCTCGTGCTGACGGCTGCTGGCCTAGCAGGCCTAACACCATCGGAGGACTGCAGCACCGATGGCTCCGCGCCGATGGCTAGCAGCCTAGCGGCAGAGATCCATAAACCACCAGCTAGCTTTGTCTGCTCCACTGTCAACAATGGCACCGAGGTAAAGCCTAGAAATCCTGTGTTCAAAAAACACTGTTGCACAAAAATGTTTCAAACTGTGAATCAAGCTAAAATAGTGTGGGATCCTCGGTGCAAGCCGAAGGGGCTATTCAGTGGACATTTAAATTTCCGCAGCATCTGCAATAAACATGAACTAGAACATCGCCTTGAGTCGAATAGTGACTGTTTGGGAATATCTGAATCTTGGCTAAAACATTCGTCACCATCCACTCTTGTATCTATGTCAGGATATAATGTGTTTAGGAAGGACAGACTGAAGGGAAAAGGAGGGGGTGTGTTGCTTTATTAGAGGAATACCTTTACTTGTAGGGAGATTGCACTCCCAGCTAATATTGAGTTTGATTGTGTTGGTGTGGAAATCACACTATCTGAGGAAATGTCCCTCACCATGATTTGCCTGTATCGACAACCCACCGCTAAGGTGGATTTCTATGACCAGGTAAAACTCCTGCTGAATTCCTGTGACTCCAACAAAGAGCTAATTATTGTCGGAGACTTTAATATCAACTGGAATGACAAACAAAATAGAAAGAGCTTAAAACGGATCACGGATAAACACAACTTAATACAACTAATGGATCAACCGACTAGAATAACCAAAACCTCCAAGACTATGATAGATTTATTATTTACAAACAAAGCTGACAATAGTTAAAACCTACAACTTCCTGACTGGTCTTTCTGACCATAATCTTGTTCTTTTTGCCAGGAAACTCTCAAAAAAAGGTTCATGGCTACACCTAAAACCCCTGCCTTGGGTTCTCACTTCATCCCCAAAAACCTGCAACAACGTTTTATGGAGGCAGTGAAAATGATTGATTGGGGGGGACACTCTGTCCTCTGAAGACATTGGTGAAAACAGTAATCTGTTTATATCTAAAATTAACGATGCAATGTCTTCCTTCTCAAGAAGAGGGTGCCTTAGGGACAGGAAGGAACATCATCTTCCCTGGCTGAATCTACAGTGCAGGAATTTGATTAAATCTAAAGACCACCTATTAAAGCAGAGCTTGAAATCCGGACTATCCACTGACAGACATAAATGTACTCATGCTCGTAATAAGGTAACTCAAACAATAAGACTTTTTCATCAACATAATTGAAGGTGTGAAAGGTAACAGTAAAAACGTTTGGCAAATCCTAAATAAACTATTAGGTAAACATACCAAACAGGAAAATAATGCTCTAGAATTAAAAATCAATGATGCCGTGATAAAAGACCCTGCAGTGTTGGCCAGCTCTCTAAATGAGTATTTTATAAATAGTGCTCTGGACATTACAAAGCTCTTCCCGCCATCTGAGGTCTCACCTAGCCCGACTGTGGATACACACCCCGTTTTTGACCTGGAGGAAATCACAGAGGTTGAGGTAAAAATATAATCTTAGGGTTAAGAGGTTCTAAGGCTAGGGATGCAGATGATTTAGACACCAACTTTATAAAGACAAATATTGACGGTCTAATAAAACCAATTAGTATGCTAGTAAATCAATCTATCAGCACGAGGGAAGTTCCATCGTCCTGGAAGGTGGCCACGGTGACACCGATCTTTAAATCTGGGGATAAGGCAATGATGTCCAATTACAGACCAATCAGCATCCTCCCCTGTATCTCTAAGATAGCTGAGAAATGGGTGTCAAAACTAATCACCAAACATTTAGATAAAGGTTTCGCTCCACTCCACCCAATGCAGTTTGGTTTCCGTGCTCACCACTCCACTGAGACAATGTATGTTGGACACGAGCCCATATGTAGGTGCTGTCTTCCTTGATCTCAGGAAGGCTTTTGACACTGTTGACCACCAAGTGCTTCTTACAAAGCTGACTTATTTCAATTTTTCGGCAGATTCAATACATTGGGTTAAATCTTACTTATCAAACAGAAAACAGTGTGTTTTGGTCAACGGTACCAAATCCCCCTACCTGTACATTAATGACTTGCCTAATGTATGTCCTGAGTTGAATGTACAAATGTATGCCAATGATGCGGTCATCTTTGTACACGGGAAAAACACTGAAATTATCTCATCCTGTCTCTCAAATAATTTGGACAAGGTTCAACACTGGCTTACAGTTAAATGCAAAAAAAACAGTATGCATGATGTTCAGTAAACGACCAGTCAAAATCGAAGGATCCAATGTGTTTTTAAACAGAGCAGAAATAGAACTAGTCCCCCACTTCAAGTATCTTGGAGTCATACTGGGCTCGAATTTGACTTTTAAGAAACATATTAAGAAAGTATCCAATACCATTAAATTCAACTTGCAACATGTTAAACAAATTAGACCTTTCTTAACTGTCAATGCTGCAAAGTCATACCTCCACTGTATGATTCTATCCCACATTGAATACTGTTTTACAAACTGGTCGTTTGCTTGTGCCACAAACCTGAAACCCATAGAACCGCTGTACAAGAGAGCTATCAAGGTGTTTGACAGAAAGCCTTATTCATACCACCACTGCCAACACGGCACCCAGACCCCACACAGCATTCTCATCTGTTTGTCATTACTGGTGTCATTTTCTGGTTGCTAACGCCATTGTAACACATAATCACTGATGTTCCGCTGTAACGGTGGTGGACTCATCAGAACAGAGTGGGCGAGCTGACCAATCAGAGCACACTGGGCTCATAGGGAGGGGGGGGGGGCAGGAGCTCCAACAAGCCGTGTAGGACAGAGAGTGAATACACATACTATACAGAGATGCTGTATGAGAAACCAATGTGAGTTTGGAACATTGAACAATGTAAATCTATTCTAGTTGACCTCAACAATGGAATTATGATCAGTAGAAATGGCCATGTCATGGGACCTTTAAAATAAAAACATCTATATTGATTCTGACTTTTCTACATCCAACTCACAGGTGTATCATTGCTTTGAGAAAAAAGATTATTAAATTACCCATTTTAGAAGTGAAGATATAGTCATTTGTTCTGGGCATGTCATTTTCGAGCCTGAAACCTGAAAAACAGGCTCAGGGCTTTACAGGTTAATACATTTTTTTTAATTGATCACAAAAAATATATATATATAGCATTAAAGTACTCATAGTGCTCAGTTTGAATAAAGGACCATTTCCGAATAATATATATATTATAGGATTCTATCATTACTGCTTGGATGTGTTAATCATTTTACTATTACATATTAAACTCCATAACTGGGAAAACTGCAACAAAAATAAGAACTTGTTCTTCTATCCTAAACAATAGTTTTCCAAAAATGTTTATGAATGAAATGAAACGTGGTTACTGTGAGATTAGTTTTATTATTCAACAAAAAATTAAGCTCATACAAAAAGTAATGAAATCAATGATTATAACAAGAATGGGAATCATATTGCATGCACATTCTCACAGCAGTCAGGCTGCAGATCACTGGACAGGAATCCCAACACTTATAGAATATTGTAAGATATATTTCTTGATAAAACAAAGGATGAGTAGAGTCAGTGACAAGCTTAACAATTCTATTTGGAGAATATGTGGGTTATTAGGACTGACAGTTTTTCATTGACAATGAACTTGAGAAACATGAACACACACTGATGACTGTTGCAACTCAGCCAGTCATTTTGAAACAGGGTGAAAACTAGTTGGGACATGTAAACTGAATATAGACTACCTTAACTTGCAAAATACAACAAACTTTAGAAGCATTTATTGTCATTATACATGTACAATGAAAATAGAGAAAAGCTTTTCAAGGTGCCATCAAAACATTCAGAATAGACAACGTACAACAACAAAGACATGCAGCATTCATACTAATAATGAAACAAAGTGCAGGAATTAGAGTAAATATGTATGTGTATAATAAATTATATATATTGCACATGTATGGGTTATTGCACAGGGTTGGAAGACTAAGCAGTATTAGTGCAAGAGTTAAGTTCCATGATTGCTTTGGGGAAGAAACTATATTTGAGTCTGTTTGTCTTTGCTTTTATACACCAGTCAAGTTAAAACTTTGTTCACATCACTCCACCTGACCTGGGGAGCTCCCCTTCATGCCTCCCTGCTCACCTAC